GAGGCTGAAAACAACTTTTATTTTGGAGTTTTACTCATTATACAAGAACATAAATGAGTTCAACAATTCACGAAGGCAAGATGGCACATTTTACAGAACAGCTAGCCTGGCTCAAATCTATACGATCAGCCATGGATGCACTTTCTTTGCCTGTCTTCCATGTGTAAACACAATAACTTCTGCCTTTCCTTGTGAAAACTTTCCAGTTTTGGCTACTACAGTGTGTAAAGCTTTGTAAAGTTTCAGAATGCTCCCATTGAAGGATATCAACAAACATGAAGTCACTCACCACTGTACATCTTAAATAACACGTCAATCATGTTATTGTTAGTTTTGGAATGGAAGTTGCTTTTGTCTGAAAAACTGAAATAATTCTAAGGTCACACCAACTGAGAGGAAGGTTGGTTAGGAAGTAAGAGGAGCAGGGGACTGGTGTCACTTTGGTATTCACTGGTGATGTGTCATTCTCAGGGAAATCATGAAACTTTCTCGCAATCTTTTCGTGGAAATCATCTCAAAGAGTTTTGTTAAATTTACAGGCCTGTTCATAGAATCATTTTCTGTAAAAACCACCAAATGCTATCTCATCTTGAATTAAATTCGCAACAAAGAAAAAAAAGAGAGGTGCTTGAAGAGTGGAGACTATAGACTAAGCTCAAGAGTTTGACCTTGCATGGCTGAGTGGTTTTCAGGCATCAAACTTTATTCTCAATTAGGTGCAACTAATAAGATTCTTTATCTTAGGCCCAGTTCAGATGCCAATCTTTTCATGAGCCGAATCTAATTCCTTGAGTTAAGTACATGAAAAGATTGGCATCTGAATCAATTTGGAATGGCTCACACATTTTTCCTGCCTGGCTTGGCCGAGAATTTCGCCTTTGCAATGCCTTTGGAATGGCTTTGATTCAGACGTCATACTTTTCATATGTCAATCCTAAAGCATAAACTATTATAATGTATTTTGCAAGTAATGCGACTGGTTTTATTGGAACTGTATTTGGAAAGGCCAAAAAAGAACGGCGTCTGAATCAACAGGCATACTTTTGTTAATTTGGGTCGGTCCAAATTCGAATTAAGTTCGGCTCATGAAAAGTTCGGCGTCTGAACCGGGCCTTAATTAATCTTCATGTCATTGCAATATGCAGACCTGTGATCTCAGAAAATTAAAACATTTTAAATTTGGAGGCCCACAATAAACTGGAAATCTGAAAAATGTTTGTCATCAGTAAGAATATGTCTCAAGCTAGTCTCTGCCATTGAAAAGAGCTGCTAGTGGCTCCATCTCAGTCACTCTGGCTCAGCGATTGAATTATAGAAAACTGTCATAAACATTCTTGCATGGCATTGACCATGATTAATCTTGGTTGATAAAGTCAAATGATCAAATGTTATCCACATGCAGATCCAAATTATTTACTGTATAATCTGATGTGACAGTGAAGTGATAACTACCTGGTGTTTATCACTGAGCCTGGATGAGGATGCTCCAGAATCAGTGTTACATTAGGGCCACAACTTTTACTTTGTTTGTAGAAGGAGATACTGACTGCTCGATCTCTGATGTGCTAGTTGTCCCTTCCACTGTTGCCATGGTGATACCTGTAAGGAGCCACAAGGGCAATTAAACACTGCATTAGAAAAAGAAACAAATAAAAGATTTACTTTGAAACTAGGAAAACCAAGAACACTAGTATTTTAAGGAAAAGGCCTATCATCTGCCAGATATTTGACTACAAACTGGTAAAAGGTAAAGGTAAAGGTAAAGGTAAAGTGTGCGTCCAAGTGAAGTGGCCCATTGGGCCAGTACCTAAGTTTCCATAGCATGAAGCAACTAGGAGCATTTCTCCTCCCCCCTGGATGGAATGCTAGTCCGCGACAGGGTTACCCCTAGCCAGTACCCATTTAATCTCCTGGGTGAAGAAAGGCACTGTGAGAGCAAAGTGTCTTGCCCAAGAACACAACACAATGTCCCTGGCAAGGGCTTGAACACAAAAAACTATATCTGAAGTCAAGCTCACTAATCATTAGGCCAGCATGCCTCCCACAACTCCCAGAAACTGGAACCAGAATTAAATTAGCACCCTGCTCACTGAAACTTTTTCACTCAAACTTCCCACTAACTTGAACTGATTTGACTTTTCTTTGGCCTCATATTTACTCTGACAATTTGAACTTTAACTAAAAACATTGGTCTATAATCATCAAAGTGTCAGAACATAGCTAATTTACACTTCCCAATCTTTAATCATGATTGATACAAACATGGTAACATCTATGAAAATATGTCACATTTAAGCTACACCTCTCAAATTTAACATTATATCTTAAAGCTTCAATTTTTGAGACAACCTTAATGTTCCAAAATAACTTCTGATAGCACAGGAATGGTGAAAACATGATAAAAACATTATGAACAGAATTATTGAAATTCAACACCAATCCAGATACTGTATGTTGTATGTTGGATCCCACTAAGTTAATGTCAAATCATTTTGCATAAATGGTTAGCATAATTATGCCAAGATCTTTCACAAACAGTTATAAAAGCTAAGCAGGAACATGATAAAAAGGAGAACAGAGCAGCAAGTATGGATAACTGAAAATTTCACAGATACTCAAGGTCTGGACAATCAAGGTTTGATGGTACCTATTTCACTTGGCAGACTCCTGAAGGATAGGGAATTTTCGAAGATCTTTTTTTTTTAATAATATGGGATGAAGAAAGTAAAGCTCCTCCATATTTTAGAATATTTTTTTTTTAATCCGAATTGCTTTAAATTTTATATTTAATCTAGCACAGAGATCCAACTGAGGAAATAAAAACAACCAGCTTTTAGTAAGTAAGCTTCTACAGATGCAAGTCTATTCCATACCCAATGGGCCATTCCATTTAATATCTGCACCCCCCCATAAGGGGAGGGGGGGTCAATGCTATATTTTTTCTTAGGAGGGTTGAACCATACTTCTGAGAGGGGTCGCAATAAAGTACCCTTGACAGAAATTCTCACGAGTAGTTTCTGAAGGGGGTTCAATTGGTTTGCTTGGTAGCTACATAAAATTCTGACAGGGGTAATTTCAGGCAATTCTGAAGGGGGTTAAAAAATTTCTTTTCTGGAGGGGTGTTACAGGAAAGACTTCAATAGGGGGGGGGTGCACGGATTTTAAATGGAATGGCCCAATAGATGTCCTTGTTTTAAACTTTCGATTTTAAATGAGGCCAAAACTAACTCAGTTTCCTTTGGAGTTAAACTCATTATATATGAATGTAGATAAGATGAATACTGCAAAGATATTTAACAAAACAATGATCAGATTTTTAACCTCCACGAGGACAATCAATAATCAAAATGTGCGGATGTGGGTTTACATTAAAAACAATAACTTCTTCCTCAGAGTTTTCCTCTGAACACATGGCTTAAATAATAAGTTAAAAACATTGGAGCGTGACAAGAGAAATTAAAATAAGAGGGAAAATTATTTTCCAAACAGTCTATCAAAAATAACAGAGGTGATAATTCATTTTTGGGGGCGAAACAATCTCAAATTTCACAAAAGAGGAGTAAAGAACTTCCCAACTCGACACAAAGCGAGCAGTTTGTTTACATTTCGCATTTACATTTGCGACAAGCGGATGTTCATCGTTCCACTGACCTTTCAAAAGACCCTTTTAAGATATGACTCCTGAACAGCTCCCTAGCCCAGCTCAGTTCTTTCCAGAGTTAGTGACAGAGTTAGTCTCCTCCACTAACTCTGGTTCTTTCCTCAAATCCTTTTGCACGTCACGGACAAAGTATCAGCCTCTCTGAGTTCGATGCCATTAGCCATGGATCGCTTTCTTTCCTCGTCTCCCCTTAATGTAAACACAATAATTTCGGTCCATCCGTGTGAAAACTTTTCAGGTTGGGCCACTGTAGAGTGTGCAAAGCTTTGTAAAATTTCCGAAGTCGACTTCTCCATTGAAGAGCATTGACAAAAGGATTAGATCAACGATTCATCCACTGGGCGTGCGTGTTCACGAAGATGTCAATCATGTTATGGTTATTTTTGGAAGTTGCCTTCGTCCTCCGGTCCATTTCAAGCCAAAGGAAAGCTAGTCGGTAGAGTTTATTACTAAAGCAATTCGCTGGTTATTTTTCATCTCTTTTTAGGCATGGGTCGCACTTGGGAAAAGTTATTCAATTTTATCCAATTATCCAGTCTTTGTGGTTGAAACTGACGTCAGGGCACATTTCCAAGTGAGACGCCAGCTTTTCTAGTTTAAAAAAATATTTTATAATCAATAAAAACATAAAAATTACTGTAGTGCTCCAGTAGGAAGGGTAGATTCTAGAAAAAATTGAGTTAAACAAAAGAAATGAAAAGGTCAACTGTTAACCCATCGAGCACCCATTCCTCCCATTTCCAGAATTTTCGAGACTTGCGAGGCCTTTGAGGCCGTAATATACTGACTCTGGAAGAAAAAGGAAAAACTAAAGAAGGAGGAAAAAGTAAAGAAGGAAAGATAGAGAAAACAAAATGCGACCAGGGCTTGAACCTTATACCTCCCTTATACTTTTGTCCGCTTGTTCATTCCACTAGGTACGCAGAGCGTTTACTAGTTCAGTCGTGAATTCCGCGTAAAATTGCACGCGAAAATCGATATCGCACGAATTGCCAAGCAATGCAATACTCTACAACTATACAACAGCATGCAAATATAGTCAACTTGAACTGCTTTTTATTTAACTTGGTTTCACACAGGTATCCCAAGTAATAAGTGGCATATACATGTTATATCATATATCAATAAATTTCTAATTAATAATAATTACGATGGGTATATACATGCATCATCAATTTGAGATATATCTTTGACATGCATTCAATTTC